ACGCTGCATTTTTCGTCTTTTTTTTTACAACTTGGTGTAAATAAAAAATGGACGGAGAACCTAATGACAGGTAGATTGTCCCTTGTTTCAATATCAGTATGTTCCCTTAGAAAGAGTGAGATGTACGTGGTACAAATGTTTTCCTTTTTTAAAGAGCCATTTAATATTATCATCTTATTTTATATTACGATGAGGTACTGTTACGACGAAATACGCTATCCATTTTAGTTTAAATAATAAAATTCAAAGTAATATGTAATTACTTTACATTTGTTGTTCTTATATTTTGAGAGCAGTTTATGATAGAGAAGACTTCATATTTTATAATATTAATTCTTATATGCATCGCAAATATATTTAAAGTGTTATATTTTATTTAATGTAAATGATACACTAAAACCTTCATTAGAAATTACTCTTTATATCGCGTTCAGACAGACTGATATGCGAGGGTGACGTTCGAATTTTGATTTTTAATATGTAAACATAATATAATATAATAAACATAATTATAATATGTAATACTATTCAAACCTACCTACTTACTTCAATAAAAAGTAGGTAAGTTTTACAAGGGTCTTTTTAAGTTTTACATGGCACAGATTTCCGATCCTGATGTTTAGATCAAAATGGACTCATGATCAGATCTCGAGCAAATTTTGTCAATTGGTATTATGAATTATGGATATTTCCATTTGTATAGAATAACTTTGAGGTAGGTACTAAGTGCGATGCCCGGACCAAATAGAAAATATTTTATACTCACTTCGAGTTTGTGTTATTCGGTTACTTATGATAACTTTATTGATTTGTATTTTCATGATACATAGGCTTTAGCGACTTGATTTGGCTTTTGAGCTTCGGTGATATGAAAGTGATGAAGCTATTACTTAATATTGAAAGGTACACACAGCAGCAGGTCAGGTAATTATTTAATGAATTGGGCCATTGATTTTGTGCTCTATGCTTAATACATTAAGACATGATAGAGATAACATGACGCGCTGGTTACTATTTATTGATAGCAAACTCAAGTTTAAGCTTTCACTTATAAGTTCGCAAATAAAATATTTAAAAATTGAGAGATAACACGAGGTCATTACTTCGTCAAAAAAAAAAAAACATTGATAACGGGACGCAATATATCCGGTTGATCTCAAATATAATAATACCAACTTCTTTTCAGACATTATGAAATACGATCTTAATGTTGAAAACATTTAACAAAGACTAACAGACCTTCATGCCTAACGAGTAACAGGTAAAAACGTTTTCATTTAAACGGTACCATCTGAGTTACTTAGGAGTTGTTCAGTGTGACAATATTCACAATTTCCTAGGAAAAATAAAGTTTTTTTAAACGGAATACTTTGTAAGATCTTGAGACACAATTTATTTTGACGTATTTACATTAATGAAAAATAGTTTTGATAATTTACTTGACTGGATTTACTTAAATACTTGGAGGCATTATAAATATTTGGTAAGGATTACTTTTTTATAGCTGTCTAGGGGTTAATAGATCAAGGCTTTATTTTTTCATAATACTACCCAGAATCAAGACAAAATAGAAACGAGAGATGAAATAAACACACTCGTCAAGGAGATAGAAATGAATGTTTAATAATTACTACAGTCCACCATGATTCTTGTAAAAGTACTCCGTAAAGCTGACGGCTTCAAAAGGTCTCACGTATTCCCTATAAAACGGTGTAATTTAGACAAGAAATGGAAAAATTGAGAATTTTAGAAATAACTTTTTGATTGTATGCTATAGTGCTTATTTCATAAATCTACGTTACGACTGCTCGACTGAGACAAAACACATATGTTACAGAATAATGAGATTTTAGTTGACGCTAGATTTATTAATTTCTGTCCAACAATTATAACATTTTGTAGGTATGATTGTTTAGTTTGCCTATAGTTGATGTGATAAAAACTTGAGGACAATAATATTATAAACCAGTGAGCTATTCTCAATGCAGGCCGCCTGTTATTCACTCCTTTGCTCTTTTTTTACTGCCAATGTCATAGGTACCTTGGTTCGTTGTCTCATGGTTGTCTCGCTCAAGGCTGATATGACTGCGTATATTGTAATTTAACTATATTAACTTATTAAGACCATCAATCGATTTTGTCAAACATTGTTTGTTTATATAATTAGATAGGTATATTATAATTTTTTAACCTATTTGTTTGGATTTCGTTGAGTGATTAAGAATTCGTGGATTTTTTTATATTTTTGTTGAGTACCTAGTTTATTTTTAATGTCAATAACAAAATAAAAGATTCTCTATTATTTCGTGTGTTTTTCTTATATTGTAATTATACACTAATACCACATTAACATGTACATTTTATTGTATTGATCTTTTGCAGTAATAAGATTGTGTATGTTACGATGTTTATCTAAATCAAGGTAAACCATTTTAAAGCAATCACACATTAAACTGTTTAGTCTGACTGATTAAATCGGAAAGGCCCGAAGTTAAAACTGAGTAATGTACAAACGAGCCAAAGTTTTATATTTCAGTAGTTGAAATAGATCAAGACTAGTCAAGTTTCAGTTCAGATCGGTCAATGTATACTTCACTAAAGTTTAGGTCATACATTTTCGAACTTCGGCCAGTTCCTTAAAATATATAATCATTCTGGTTCAAACACGACCGATGTTTTTTTGTGACAGTTATCTGTACGACATCAATATAAATCCATGGTTCCAGAAAAACTGTCAACTTCGAAAATCTTGTTGTGTAATATGGAGAGTCCTATTAGGTAGGTCTAAAAAAGACTTGTTTACTATAGCAATGATTTGGATCCAAACGTTCATAGGATAGGAGGAGGAGAAGAATTATTTTGGTTTGACTCAAACAGCCTACAAATAGGAGATAAGAGCTTATAACAGAAGGAAAGTTGAATGATCAAGACAAAACTCACCAAGAGATAGTTGGACAATGTTGTGCTAAATTTTCTAAGAACCATGAAGTGGAATAATACAAAAAAATAAAAAAGATAACTTTAATTTCATATAAAATTTAGTGGATCAATATGCCTTCAAATGTTACATATGTTAACATCTCATTTGATTGTTTCTTCGGCAAAGGGTGTTTGGATGCGAGTGACGACAAGGCGAGAGGTTCTATCAGGACATTTCCTTGATAGAGAAACATTATCGAGAGAATTGCTAGTAGATTATTATTTTACACTTATAAGGGACTAACCAGAAGCTAAATACGTATCTACTAGACGTTAAACCATATTTCTTCCTAGTGTAGTAAATGTTTGTACTTTTTACGATATTACGTTTTGATGTCACAAGGAAACCTGAGTGTCAATTTTTGTTTTCATTGATCGTTACTGGTTTTATAGGTGGACCTAGTACAATATTTGCCATAATTTTTAGGTGATAAAAAGAGGCTCCAATATCATTAACCAGTGTTATGCGAGAGAATACAGATTTCAATTGATTAATAATAAAACACGATCGTTCTTCATAATCTTGTTATATTTTGATAATTTCAAGAATACCTATAAGCTAAAACTTTTAAAAGATTAATTTACAGATGGTAATTAAATGCAATATTTTGTTTGACTCTTGATGGTATCCATAAAATGATGCTTTTTTATTATACGTGGCCGTAAAGACAAAAGACTATCTTTATCTATTTGTTTAATGAGATAGATAGGAAATGGTAAATTTCTTGTTAAAAAACCTATTATTACTTAATTGATTATATTTATTACTCGTAAACTAATATGATTATAGTAAGTGTCAGAAACTGCAAAGTGGGTTATTTCAATCAATCCCATAAAATGAGTAGGTATACCTTGTTCTACGAGACGAAATAAAATAAATGTGTATTCTAGGGGGCAATTTTGTGTTATTTTTTTTTTTATACGGAGGAAATTTTATAAATTGAATTATTTTAACTTTTGGTGTACCTACATGCTCTCAAGACTAGTGTTGTAGGTATTTCAAAAATGTTTATGTAAAGGTTATCCGTCCGTTTGTGCAACCGATTCGATTGGTTGATTTCGACGATCTTTGATCGTAGTTTTTGATTGGCTTTTGATATCATACTCATCTTGGTAAAAAAATCTTAGAGCAAAAGGCAATGCTATTTTTTTATTATAATTTAAGTTATGCTATTATTAGTATGCAAGTATGATACAGATATTGTCACTCATTGTGTTTCGTTTGTTTATTCGTTTTGATCGAATTTCTAATTACTGTTTCTATTTCTTGTGAAAGTATTTTAAAGGTGTATCAATTAAGCATGGTCTCTTATAACGTTATAATAGCCTTCAACTTTAGAGATGGTATTGTTTGTTTACAATAATTCTCGATTGTACGGTGGCACTTTTTGGCAGGCTCTGCATTTGGAATAACAAGCTTGATACTTTGTATAAACGCTCTAAGTTTAAATCTATGTAGATGATAGTTTCATCATAATCCACAAAGTACAGAGTTAAACTTGTTTTGAGGTTATCTAAACAAAACACAGCTCCAGGTTTTACTTTGCATAGCAAATTATTGATTGCTTGTTAGTATGACGAGAATATATATATTTTTTTGCTTAATATTTTGTTAATGATTCGCATTTTCTTACTTTTTGTATAGCAATATTTTGTTTATAAATTAATATTGTCATTACCGTTTTTCTTGTTAGTAAAATATCATAATTAAAAATTCATATGCTATTCATACAAAAAATACTAATTCATCAACATTACGAAATTACTCACAATCGTGTACTAGGCGCTCATAACCTACAAGATATCGATTCACAACATTCCCTCCAAAAATGCTACAAAAAAGGGGTTACGGAAAGACCTGCTCGGGACAAAAAAACACTGAGAATACGAGGGATAGTCCTCCGTACCTCCGTAGTTCGTTCAGCGGCCGCCCCACTCGATTGTTAGGTGCTGGGGTGAGCTACCCCGCATTTCTGCTTACACACAACAGAAAACACTGGAGCCGCAGACTCCACACTTACGATGTTGCGGTTGGTCTTCTTCCTCATACGAACATTGCACGATCCATTTAACTATTCTAAAACTACACTACACTGACACAAGGGTCCTCGCTCTCACTGACATCGAGTTTTTTTTTTGGTAGCGTTGTTCGCGAGCCGGCCGGCGAGAGGGAAGCGAAGCGAGCGCGCAGGTAGTCCACTCTGCCGCGTCACTGTACCAAGGATATGTACCAATTTACATTATTTCACTGATTACTTTTAAGGAAAAGTGCGTAATATTCACGAGCGTGTAGCGTGGTACATTGTTAGTGCTACGATATGTTCGCGCGGCGTGAGTCGCTCGATCGCACTGCTAGGGAGCGTCCGTCGGGTAGGGGAGGGGCGACGCGGGAGGCACGCTGCTTTACCGACCGTTATGAAATTCCCTGTTTTATCGACGTAGAAACGGACAGGTGGCGTGGTTTTCGGCCTTTTGCATCGTGTTCGCATCGCAGTGCTTCAAACTGTTCTCTTAGCTTGTCTTTTCGTAATTAGCTGTAATATTGTTTAATTTTTATCACTGACACTCAAAAATTGAAATTTTTCTGTTTTTCAATACCGTGTAAAACAGAAAAAAATCAATTTTTGAGTTACCTACACCATTATGTTATTGAGCTGCCAATTAGTTCACAGATTTTTTTAAATAATGAGAACTTATATTTTTAAGATTTTACGAAGAATTGTCAATTAGTGTAATGTATAATACGCATTACACACATTTTTTATAAAATAAATATGTATTACAGTACGATAATACCATACCATACACCTAAATCTCTATCTAGAGGATCTCCAGGTTATGTCTCTAGGACTAAAATATATATATAATGTACAGTTTAGGTTAAAATTTTATACAGCACCCTTTTTTATTATCAATAAAATATTAAACTTTGACTTAAGGTTGGGCGTAAAGACAAAACCTACTATAGATAGATATAGACAGTGGATAGCGAATTATTTTTAATTAATTAATTACTCGTAGACTGTTGGGATTTTTGTGTCTCTATTAAAGACATGATATAAATAAATAAGTAAATAAAGACAAATAAATAATCAAATAGTTTAGCTTTATACCCCTTGGTTGCAGTGATTTACATAATTATTAATTTTCCCTATGGCAAAAATGGAAAATGGTGAATTTAAGGGGTAACTAGGTGAGAACTCTCTATGAAAGTAATGTTCACATATTGACTTTTTTCTTAATTGAATGTCTTTATTAGATAAATATTCTTGAACCCAGTTGAGAGACTACTATTTTATCGTGAATTTTCAGTTGACTTAGGATGAAGTCCACATACCTACTCCATTTATATAGAAATGGACCTGCTTGCAGAATTAGGACATGTAATATTGGACACTTTGGTTTCTAAGACCGATTTTTGTTATTAAAAATTAAAATCACTACTATATGAGGCGTATAATAACAGCAAGTAGAAGTAGGTATGCCATTTACTAATAAAATATAAGTACCTCATGTGTTCATATTTTTAGACGGAATTAAAGTTGCGTAATTTTTTTAATAATTAACTTATACTTCCAAAATTTTCAGTAAACATTAAATAGATAATAATCAACAATAAAATACCGCCCTTGTTTTTAATACAGGCCCCTTAGACGATTCGGCCAATCATCAATGGCGGCACCACTGTTCTGTGGGCGGCACGAATCTTTTCTAGCGGAATTCGCTTTGTGTCTCAAACAAGGGTTCGCTTCAGTCAGTGGCTCCAAGTTTGGGTGGGACTTTCGGCAGGCCCTGAGCTCTAATTCAGTCCATAAAGAATAATCCAGCGGGTTGAGTTCGGGGCTGGGCCACTTGTGCGCCGCAATGAAGGCCGGCACATTCTCCCTCAACCAAGCTTGGGTGCTTTTTGCCATATGGGATGGCACCGAGTCTTGCTGAAAAACCCAATCCTTATTGTGAAATAACGTATCAGACAGGGGTTTTTTCACGGGCTCTAAAATGTCACTCTGATAATTCAAGGCCTTGACACCTTGTTGGCAGAAATAGAGCGAAGTGACACCTTCATACTAAACTCCCCAGTAAAATACCGCCCTTGTTTTTAATACAGGCCCTTAGACGATACGGCCAGTCATCAATCCATATCATCACACTAGCCGGATGATGAGTGTGCGAGACATTGGAGAGACGCGAGATTTTTTGTCGCATTTCGTAACAAGCTGTGTAAGATTATTTGCGACAGCAAAGGTGTAATCGCATCTTCCTGCATGATAAGTTTTAAAAGATCTCAACCATATTTCGTGGTCTGCATTAAGGTCTTCCAGAACGACCATTTCTGCTGTCGGGACCTTCTCCTGTGCATCCTTCATCACTACATTAAGGTATATTCAAATATTTTTATTTCAATATCTCTGTTGTGTACACTCATTGCAGGGTGCACGTAGATATGAACTCTGAGTCATATCATAAGTACGACCCTGAGAGCCAAAGCCTAAGGGCACTCAAATGGTGGAAACGGGGGGGTGGAATAGGGCAGCCTCTTGTAGTGGTTAGCTACAATTGGGTCTCTATAGTATACCGCGGGCAGCAAGCGGAATAACCGTTTCTACCACTCTTCCTGGCTGGCAATTCGAGACAACCGAGACCCAATCGCTTTAGCCAACCCCCTCAGACAAATACACGTAACACACACACGCCGACAGCTCGCGACACCGCTCTCACCGGGCACGAGTGCGACGACCTGGTCTACACAGTACGCGATTCACCAAGTATTGACATGTACCTGGGCGTTCTCTCCCCCTCTAGAGGCGCCCTCTAGTCATCCCGATCCCCAGAGTCAGATACGAGAGTCCAAGGCGACTCTACAACGGAGCAGAGACACCTTCTCTTGGGGCCCTCCTAGTAGATAACCTCTAGGGCGATCGTTTTCTCGGCTTGAGATCTCGATGATCTCGCCGTTATTTAGACCTGTTACACTGTAAAGGCCATTTGAAGCCGATAGTAAATACTACTAATACATATATATATATATTAAGTCTTTAGTCCTCGAGTAGTCTAAAACTGATGAAGTCCCCTCCCAGCATCCAGGACCCGTGTTCTTCAAGGGGAAACGGTAGGTTCCATGATATTGTCTTTGGAGGTTGACAATTTCATTTGATATTAATGCTTGGTCTTCATCAGAGTGGCATCTAGAGCGAATAGTGTCTATCACGGTCATGGCTACTTTAACAGGCACCTTTTCAATCTAGGTGTCACTGACAGCCCCTTGTGCTGAGGATGCATGAGGATGGAAGAAACAGCCGCTCACGTCTTGCTGGAATGCAACGGAGTGGCAAACTTCCGTGCAAAGCACCTCGGCTCGCCGGGTAACCTCCAGTAGGCCATCGCAAACGTGAAGGCGCTAGGAGTGTTTCTGGCAGAGCTGGGCTGGCTGGAGTAGTAGGGCTACACACCCTCCATACGCAAAACAGGCGCAATTTTGACGTCGCCCTTTGAAAGAAGAAGAAGATGATATTTGTTTATTTAAATTAAAGTTGCTATAAAAATTTTCTCACGAAAGAAGTTCCTCAGATGGAAATGTTTTCGCTTTAATACAAAGGAATAAGAGTTAAGCCGCGAGGCTTCTTTCGTGAGACACTAGCAAAAACTAATACTATTTTCATAGATTGCTCTTATGAACAGGTACCACATTTGCTTTCTCTGTCTACGTACCACATGAATACGTAGAGTAGGGATGCAATATAATTGGAAAACCGATATACATCGATCGATACCGAAGAAACACCGATATCGATATCAAATAATATCAACTCATCGAAACCTAATATCGATTGAAACCCAAAGAGTTAATGTATATCAGTTGTCAAAATAATAACATACTACGTCTTTTTGTCACATTGACATTAGTGACATTATTTTTAACCATAATATTTGCTTCGTAATTTGTAGCAGTTTTTTATTATTATAATTTGTGCTTAATTTCATAATAATATGTTATTCCCAATGCAGTACCAAAAACACATTCCCATTGTTGAATTTTCTGCATCACGTATCTGCTCCTGCAACTTGCAACTACAGATACGTGAAGCAGAAAATTCGGTTGTATGCAGTGGTCACCCATCCTATTACCGACCTTTGCGATCGTCGCTTAACTCCTGCAATCGCAGATCAAACAAGCTAACCACTACACCACTGAGATTTTCACTTTTTTTATAAAGCATGGATATTGACATATTTTTTTGTCAAAGCATGGATATTGAAAATATATTTTGATGATTTGGTAATATAAATATACCCGTGCATAAGAGATTGCGCAAGAGTTGATCGAGCCGTCGAGCCATGGGCGTACCCAGGTAGGGGCGGGGACAGCTGCTCCCCCCCCCCCTCCCCCGATAATAAAATAAATGTCAATTTTCCTGGTACGTGGGAATCAAAAACGTGTTACCTACTCTGCGCAAAATGAACTGTTGGAAACAAAATATCTTCTCAGTCAAATATTTTGATTTAACATTTTTTATCTCTAATTAAATATTCTACAACATTCGATATAGAACACTGTTAGCTATGCAATATTAAATATAAAACGAATTGATAAATTTATGTGGCGAAGTTATCAAGGAGAATATAATAAGTGAGGTTCATAAGACCATGGCTTACGCAGTCTTAGATTGATTGCGAATTTGCGACTTTAAACTCAGACTACAGCACAGTGCCTAGCCTAAGAGCCAAAGTAATTAATTGGAACGGTTGGTTTCGAATCCTATTATATGATCACAGTAAACGGCATATTACTTATACAATCAAACAATATAAACTGACATCGCGATGCATTACATCAACAGCCCCATCTAATTTGCAGATTCGAACTATTCGGGCACCTATGAAGATGATGGGTGTGTTACAAATAAATATCTTTGTCATAACAATATTCAAACTATATTGTCGCAAACTTGAAACTTCATATTTAACATAACAATATTGTAGCGACATTGTCACAAACTTGCCTCGTATATTTGACGTAGCAATTTAGAATCAAAGAAAAATAAACCTTGCCCCAATTTAGCATGCTATCTGGGTTGGGTTCGTTGAACTAAAAGCATAAAATGCTTCAGCAATTGCCGAAGCCATTGACAATTTCTTGATTAGTTCTAACCTCCCAACCAAAGATTGCGTAGGGCTTGGATTCGATGGCTGTTCTACAATGGCAGGGAAAAAAAGTGGCGTGCAAGCCATTTTGAGAAAAAAATATCCTCGTGCTATATATTTTCATTGCTCAAGTCATAAAGTCAACCTTGTTGTGAATGATGCGAACGCAGTGCCAGATATTAG